GGTGTCTGGGACAAAGTCTTCAAGGTTTGCGCAAGGGTTTTTGGAATGATTTAAAAGCTTGGCCTCTCTGAAACGCAAAACAAAAAGCTCACTGTTAATACCTTGAACTGATTGTCAGAATATAGTTTGCTGACAAGCCATTTAGGAAAACTTTAGAGGGCCATTCGGTTTTAACCACTTTTAAATTACTCCAAAGATCCGATTGTTACTTCAAACAGCTATAGCTAGTCTTAAACATTGCTGAGCTTTGTGTTTTTCTATCAAAATAATACCCTGTAGCTGATATTGTAGGAGAAGTTACATGTTGTAAAATCTGGGAATCAAACTCGAATACTGAGAAGTTTAACAAGGTAACGACTGAATGAACGTGAGTAAAATGATCTGCGAATGGGTACCGGTATTAAAATTGCAAGGGAAATGTGATGAAATACTGGTGGTAACTTTGCTATGGACTGGCACCCCATCCTGAGGGGAGTGGCAATACCTCTTGTCGCTTCTTGCTATGGAAACCAGGATAACCTCCGGCTGGATCAGCCACTTACAGACATCACTTTTTTTAACGTTAAATCAAGGTTCTTACTCTATAAGACGAAATATTTCTCTTTCGTAGTTATCCTTATACATCATTTCGATATTTGTTTCTTTTTTCAGCGCATGATTTTTAAAATAAATGTTCTGCATAAAGCTTCCCACATTTAGTCCCTTGGCTCCAAAGTGGTAAGTACGAGAAATGTCCGGAATGATGCACTCTCGTCCTTTGATATTGGAAGGCAGCCTCATCCACATATCCCAGTCAACTGACTGATGGGGTTTCGGCCATTTATCCTCCAGCTCACCCTTGTATATTTTACGTTTTAACACCCTACAAAGAAAGGGTGGGTTTGTAAGGCACAGAAAAACGGGTGGGGCGAGGGCTTCCAACAAATTTTTGTTGCCTTTTGTTTTACTAAAAACTCAATTATTGTTTTTGTAGTTATAACAACCCACTCTCATTTGGAACGACCTGCATTTCGGAGAAAAATAAAGGATCGTTCAGCCCGCATCCAATTAAGACTTTAAAAAATTTGTCGTGAATGCAGGTAGGCATCATGGTGCTGATTAAGGCTTGCTCTTTTTAGATGAAGGCACATATGAACCATAAATTTCCTCAGACTCCATCCCTATGTTCTTCCATTTACTGTATGAACTCTACCGGTGAAGTAACATGCCTCATCACCAAGTTTTGTG